CCATGTGCCATGTGCCATGTGCCATGTGCTGCACGTTGGCATTGCAGGATCCTGGGCTCCTCTGGAGGGGAATGACTTTTACAGACAGACAGAGCCCTACACCTGCTCTTTCCCCCTCAGAACACCTGCAGCTCTATGAAATAACCTTCCTGTCCTGTTGGAGGAGCACACACTAACACAGGTCACTCCAGGGAGTGGGAAGTGCCAGCCAAAATTCGGGAGGGAAATGGAAAGGTCTGGGAGGTCTCCTGAGGAGCACATCCTCTCCGAGACCAGGAACTTACAGCAGCAAAATTCAGAGCCCTTCAGAACCAGCCTCTGTCCAATCTCCAGGAAAACAGGGGCTCAGGATGGGCCCATTCCACATTCCCAGCCCTGTTGAAGCCAGTGGAGGGTGAAGGGAAGGAGGTGGGAGCAGCTGAGGCGTCACCAAACTCGCCCTGAAAGGAGATTTCTTCCCAAGCAAACCACAGGACAGGCTGGTCCCCTTTATATACACACATGGACAGCTGAAATGGTCTGAAATGCTTACAGGTTAGAAGGTCTATACAACATTACACCTGCCACAAATCAAAGTAGAAAAGTTTTACAGCACATTATACAGGTCCCTCTAAAGTCTAAAAAAAAAAAAAAAAACATTGACTGGAATCACCATATTACAAGAAGTCATCACTAACAGACCATATAATACTATTTCTTTTTCTTTTACAGAATCATTATGGATAGAGTAATTTAAAAAAATCACTTTTTAAACAAGTATACAATTTTCACTTTAAAATTAACTGGTTAATAAAATTCTGTGCAAAACAAGCCAGCCTCTATAATTAAGTGATTTTATTTATTTCTTTATACAAAAAAAAAAAATAAAACAACAAAAAAGAGTTCTTTCAGAAATGTGTCTCCTTTTCTGTGATGGTGGAAATGGTGCCATCTCCTTTCAGTTTGGCATCGCAGTCATTTATTGCTGCAATGTAGGCTCCTCCTCCGAGCTTGCCCCGCATTTTCAGGTCTGAGCTAGGTGTAATCAACTTCCTGAATTTCTAGAAAATTGGAGAAATTGGAAATCATTACGGTTTTTTCTCGGTCACAGACACACCTCTCTTTAACAGATCCATTATAAAATGTCTGCTTCTCATTTATTTCCCTGTTGTGGGCACATCCTCAGACCTGCAGGCTGCACAATTCTGGAAAAATCCCACCAGACCAAAAAGGCAAAGCTCAAACCAAAGTGAATTTTTATGCTGATTTAATCATCCCCTTTCACAAAGACACTCAGCACTGTGTCTGTTCTACAGGTACATTTTGTTTCTCATTTTATCATCAATGATGTCCACTGGAAAAAAGCAAATAAACCAGAGACAGCAAAGGTGTCTTGAGCTGTGAGAAACAAAAATATACTTTCTCTTTTCTAGCACTGACATCCAGAGCAAGGTTGCTGCTCACAGCAGGGAGCTGGCTCCCCCAGCAGCTGCCAGCTGTGATTAAAACAATCCTCTTGTCATCCTGGCAGGGAAAAGATAACGACCTGTCTGCAGTGCTGCAGCTCCAGCAAAGCCTGCTCACCTGCAGGGACAGGTGGGGCTGGTGTATTGAGGAAATATTTAATGTTTAGATTTGTGCAAACGTCCTTTTTTGACTCTCTGAGACAACTAAATCATGGACAATTCACTTTTAGTTTATATACCCAGTAAAGATTTCCTAAGAAGTCTCCAGGCTGTTTTTAATCAACTGAATGGAGTCTTTGCAATATGGACAAAATGAGGCTTTTCTGCAATGCTGAAATCCCAAATGGCTGAGTAAGATTTGTATTTTTGTTTCTTCCACTGTTGCTTCCTTCACTGCATTTCTTTGGAGCTCCCACAGAAATGAGCCACATTCCAAGCTTAAATTTCATAATAACCTCAGCCTAGACCTGAGCTAACCTGGCACCAAATGTCAGAAAATTTCACTGAATCTCTTTATTTGCCTGAGTTTCTCATTCAGAAAACCGAAATTAGGAAAACTGTCCAGAAAATGGGAATGTGGGCAACCTAGCTCCTGGAGAAAATCCTGACAGTGTGAACAAAAACCATGGGAAAAGGCAGCTGACCTGAGGGAATGGCTGGTACAAACCTTGAGGGATTTGGGTGAAGTTACAGACATTTAAAGCTACAAATTGTGCTGGACAGAGCACCTTAAATCAATAGTTTTGATTAGTTTCCCACTGCAAAAAAAACCAAGAGGATTTCAGAATGAACCAGAGAAAGCCCAGAATTCTCCTTCCAGTGGCGACTGAGAGCCCTAAGGCAGGGAACAGGGATGTGGCACTGCTGCTGTCATTAAAGGATGCAGGTGAGGGCTCCCAGCCCCTTCCCAGCTCTTTTTCCAGCATCACTGATCTGCAGATATCTCTCACCTCCATGAAGGTGCCTTCTGTCTTCCAGAGCTTGATGCAGATCCACAGAGGGATGCAGACCATGGAGGACAGTGCCATCATCCACCCGATGCCATAGCCCCAGTCAGGGTAGATGTACACATTGTTGTACTTCAGGGGCTTGTATTTCACCAGGAAAAAGATGAAGATGCCCTGAAACAAGCAGAGATATAGATTATTATATTATATTTGGGCAAAGCCTGCATGGGTAACAAGGATTTGGCTGAGTGTTGAGGCCAGGCCAGGCTCCCTGAGGAGGGAGAGAAGAGGGAAGCTCCTCACTCAGAGAAAAAACCCACCAGCAACATCCTCTTTTCTGTACAGCTTAAATAACACATGTCAGAGACTCCTGCAGAAACGAGCAACCTTTCAAGTTTAATCCTATTTGCCTCTTGATGACAATAAACCCTGCACTTTGATGGCAAACAGCACCTGGGCAGGAGAGATTAAGTTTTGCTACAGTGAACCAGCTGAGATTAAGTAACACGAGCTGGGTTCTTTCCAACCTGTCAGAATGAAAAAGGAAAGCCAAAATTTTTGAAGTTGCTTTAATCCACTGTGTGTATCTGCAGTTTTGCAGGCCAATGCTTTCATCCTGCCAAAAGCCCTGAAAAATCTGTCTAAATTTCTAATCAAGCAGCTTGGACCATTTCAATGTATGAAATAGAGAAGAGCTACCATGTAATTTTCTCCAAAGTGGTGAAACGAGTGCACAAGAGCAAATGGTACAGAGATAAATTCAGATTTGGTGCAAATGAGCCAGAAATTCTCCTAAATTTGCAAATGAGAACCTGGATTTCGAGGTACCCCAGCTCCTGTGGTTTGCTGTTCCATCATTGGAGTCTTACACAGCTGGAAGAGGTGTTGGCATCTAAAACTCAATTTCAAGGGCGTTCAGATCATGCTGCTTTTGGAACTTTGTCCCTGGGACACTGCCACAGATCTGCAGGGCTGGCACCAGCTTCCTTCCCCTCCTTCACCCCTGTGGGATTGGCTTTTGGCCTCTCCTACTACTTTTAAAAGATGTCTTGTGTCCTTTGGAAAATGTCCACTCCCCCAAAGAGAGAGGAGAAAGGAGGAGAAGGGAGGAGAAAGGAAGAGAAGAGAGGAGAAAGGAGAAGAAAGGAGGAGAAAGGAGGAGAAAGGAGGAGAAAGGAAGAGAAAGGAGGAAAAGGATGGAGAAAGGAGGAGAAAGGAGGAGAAAGGAGAAAGGAGGAGAAAGGAGGAGAATGGAGGAGAAGGGAGGAGAAGAGAGAAGAAAGGAGGAGAAAGGAGGAGAAAGGAGGAGAAAGGAGAAAGGAGGAGAGAGGAGAAAGGAGGAGAATGGAGAAGGGAGGAGAAAGGAGGAGAAGAGAGAAGAAAGGAGGAGAAGGGAGGAGAAAGGACCCAGCACAAGCCTGGAGGGTCTCGAGCTGTGTGTTGGCACACAGGGTGCAATAACTACAGGGAAAAACATCCCTCTTGTTCTGGCAAATGTTCATTTAGGGCCCTGGCATTATTTTTGCTCCTATGTTTGTACATACTAAGATTTTTCACAGAATATTTAACGACTTTTACAGATCCTACAGAGTGGGCTTTTATTTGAAATACATGCTACACCTCATCAGGCGTTTTTTCTCAACTACTAGCAGCAGCAAAATTTTTAAAAAACATGTAGAGCACCCCCTCTTTATATCCAAAACAAGTTATCTGGACATTCTGTACTTACTGCACAAATACCTGGAGTTAGGACCATCCAGCACCACTTAATCAACGACACAGGTTTGTACCCAATCATGTCTTCAATGTTCTCATAAAAGCGATTGCTGCCTGCCCAAAAGACAAAGGAAAAGCAGATATAGAGTGCACCTGGAAGGGGTTGTCCAGGTCAGGATTTAGAGCAGTGGAGAGAAAGCACAGACAGAGCTGGGAAGGCTGAAGCTGCTCCTCTTTCCCTGGGAAACTCCTCCCTGCCATCTGCCCATGCTCGTGGCAGGGGTTGATATAAAATTCCTGCTGCTATAAAACTTCTGGGGCTATAAAACATTTGTTTCATACAGATCATTTTATCTCTTCTCAGAGAGGGAGATCTGATTAGTGTGGCACAAGCTGTCACAAAAATATAAACATTTCATTTAGTCCTACTCTCCTTTTTCCTCCACACCTTGAGTTTTGCTTTCCTTCAAAGCATGTCTAAACCTAATATATTCTGCTTACTTGGTTTATTCTCTTCGTTGTAGAATCAGGTTGTAAACAACCCCAGCCAAAGAGTATCTATTTTATAAATAAATATATTTATATAGATGTTACAAGTCCATGTGTGAACCCAAGGATAGCTGGGCACGTGTGGTCTGCAGTTCTGTGTTGCTTTACAAAGTGAAATAATCCAGAGTGTGCATCTTTGTGGAGAAAAAGGCATTTATGACTTTTTTGGGGAGGCATGGGACTGTGGAGGGTCCCATTCCATAAGGGTACAAGATTTTCCCTTTGCTTTTATGCAAATAGGAAACTTGGATAAGAAAACAGATCAGTTTTTATCACTCACCATACACCCAGCCTATGCAGACACACTCAAATATGGCAACAAAGAGCAGGCACATCCCACTGGCTGCATAGGAGTCAAAGAGCTGAAAGACATACATCCCACCCTGGAAGAGAAAATAGGGAAGGGAAAAAAAACTTAGGATGGCACCAGTGGGGATATTTCATAGCAAATCTGTTTTAATTACACTGTCAAGCTGTTGGCTCTCTGGCAATCTTCCTGCTCGAGTTGGTTCTTTCTTGAAAAAAGAATATTCATTTCTTGAGGTTTTTTTACTCTGCACTTCCTTTGGGGTGTTAAATCTGGAGTGAAGTAAATTTGGTTTTTTTCCAAAAATTCTCTCCCACTGCCCTGCTTTTCCCTCGGTTTTCACATCAAGCTGTAGATATTCCCAAGAGCTTCTGGCCTCCAGATCCTGGTTCTGTGTCTGTGTTATTAATATGTAAAATAATTAGTGAAAATGTGGTGAAAGAAGGTAAAATCTGTAGCTATCAAAATCCCTCTCTGATGGTGTAGGGACCACAAAATGAGTAAAGTGACCTAAAAAGTGTGAATGCAGCTCACAGACTTTAAGGCATATGACTGAAACAAGTCTTTATTATTTGCCACAAAGAAAAAGAAATAAGGATCATCCAATCAAGAACATTATTGTTAAAATAATAAGAATAAGAATGATTTACAGGTAAATATAAAGTCTATATGTATATAAAATCTCTGTTCAATGCATTATTTCACACAGAGCATCATATCTCTTATCAGAGAGGGAGATTTGATTAGTCTAATTAAATATTCATGTTCCAAGTTCCAGATTAGTCCAAGTAGGAAGGGACAAAAAGTTTTGCTCAGAGATTGGCTGCACTGATTGACATGGCCTGGTGATCTGGAAACCAAAGATGGTTTAATTTTCTCTTTTCACTTTATTTAATTTTCTTTATTTTTCTTTCCCTACAAAATGTGGTTGTTCCTGCCCAGGGTAAGCAAGCAGAAACCACGGTCAGTGTGTGTGGTTGGCTGGTGCAAAGCAGGGGGAATTTCCTTGGCAGTGCTGTGTATTTTCCATTAAAACATTTCTTGGGCTCAGCTGATAAAGCAAAGCCACTCTTCCCATGTCAGATGTTACACAGGAGGCGAGAACAATCTCTCAAGCATTGTGCTGTCACATTCCTGACAGGGAAATTTGTCTGTGGCAAAGATTCTGTAGCTGTGGAAAGGGCTTTTAACCCTTTAAGTGCGGCAGAAATAAGATGCACAGCTACAAGGTTGTCTGTCATGACAGGAAGAAAGAGCCAAGTTTATTCACAAACACACTTGGTTTTATAGAATGACTCGCAATTCCAAGAGTAGAGAAAAGGTGATTGGTTCAGAGAGAAGACACCCCATTGCCAGGGCCTGGGCACACACCAGAACAGGTGTTCTATCTTTGTTATTAATTTCTTTTTATTGTGACCAAATTATCACCCTGGGAGAAATTCTTCCTGGCCTTGGGCTGGACCAGCTCATGGGCTGGGAACAGAGCTGAAAAGCTCCAGCCTGGAATATTTTTCAGGCTGTAATTTTCTTCCTTTCTCAATGTGTCCCACAGATTCCTGTGCTTTATGTGCTGTGGTTATGCAGACCAGCTCCCCTGCTGTGAAGCAGGCAGCTCTCACCTCAGTTAACATGATGAGGCCCAGGAAATAGGACACGATGGAGAGGCCGAGGATGAGCAGCTCCCTCCTGTAGCCCCTGCGGAACACCTTGGGGTACATGTCCACCACAGCTGTCACGATGCTTTCCACACACACAAACTGCAACAAAGCACAGCAAACACCCAGTGAAATCTGTCTCCTCTGCTGCTGGGGCTGGGATTTGCCACCTAACACTTGAAATATCCTCCTGTTTTCAGCACACAGGATCTCTGGGCATGCTCGGACTGGGAGGAACATCTCCAAATGTAAAAGTCCAAAGTTATGGATTTCCACCAAATTCAAACAGTTGGATTCTCTAATATTATCCCAGACTGCATCTGCCCTGTAGCAGGTGGATTCAATGAAAATGAAACCTTCCAAATGTGGCTTGAATGGGAATTAAAAAATGTACAAACCCTCCATGAGATCAAGTCACCCCAGGCACTTTTGCCAGTTTTGCCATGCATCCTCCAACCTGCCAAAGGAGCAGCAGGGTTTGGGAGAAGTTCTCTCCATTTACCAAAAGAGAGAAGTTCCCTAGAGCTCTTCAGTGCCCAAGCCAGGTACTTCTAACAAAGATGGGCAGGAACATGTTCAGTGTCTTTAAACATCAAAAAAAAGCAAAAGACCTGAGCTTCCGATTCAGAGCTCTGGAGCAAGGTTTCTAAAATTAATACCCCAAAATAGACATTGGAATAGTGAAGAGCAGAATCCAGGAACTGCTCACTTAAAAAAAAAAAAAAAAACCAACAAAAAAACCCAGACTTTTAAGAACCTGTTAGATCATTAAAAAGAGCAGTTATTAAAAGAATTAAATTTAATGACTGAAAATGTCATGCAGAACAAGCACTGCTGAGCTTTAAAATAAAAAACTTTCTGAACCCAGTCATGCCAAGGGCTGAGCTGTATGCTAAAAATCCCAGGCACTTCACATTTTTCTTCAAGCAGTTTTTGCAATTTTTACAGTCACACAGGGACAATGACTTCAGTGCTGCCCCTTTGCTGCAGGATATGACTACACATTCCTTGCTATGGTATCTTGCAGTAAAAATACACCATAGAAAATTACATTATCACTATCTGATATTCAGCTTCAAAATTCATTGCAAAGTGCTTTAAAAATGGGCTGGTATTTTACTGAAGCGTGAATTTCAATCAGCCCTGTTGAAGTTCAGACTGATTTCCATGTTAATAATGAAAACTGGAGCCAGGCTGAACCAGCCTTTGCAGTGAATCATGAAGGAATATCCAGCATCACGACTAAGATTTGAAATAGCAGAGAATTAAGTTAGGGTTCAGTCTTTCATCAGGCTGATGCTGTTTAGGTGTTATTTCCACCTGTTGGGGAGACTAAAAAAAAATCATAGAAATGGGTTTTGCTTCATACCTGACTGTCCAAGCCCAGGAAGATGAGCATCATGAAGAACAGAGCTGCCCACAGAGGAGACAGAGGCATCATGGTGACAGCTTTAGGGTAAGCAATGAATGCAAGTCCTGGTCCTGGGAAGGAATAAAGAAAGGAAAAGTTGATACTTGTGTGGGAGTGTGAGATGGAGTTCAGCTCCTCCAGAGCAGCCTGAGCTGTGGGAGAACAGCATTGCTGACACCCAAAGTGTGGCTCAGGCTGAGCAGGGCTCACTCTGCATCACTTATCAGACTCTTTTATCTGGACACACTCATTTTCTCACTTTCCCTCTTCTGCTCCCTTCCCTATCCCCCTGTGGAAGCTGAGTGAGCTGACAGCAGTGTGGATGCTCAGCTGCTGGTCAGGGTCAGCCACCACAACCTGATTCTTCTGTCATGGCAGGTAAGAGGAACTGAACCCAGGGCTGAACACCTTGACAAACTCTACATCCCTCATAGTCTGAACAAGTGGTGCTGAGGCTTAGCAGGAGTGGCACAACCCTGCCTGCATCCTGGCCAGAGGATGCTCAGCTTCTGTTCAGACTTCCCAGAGCTTTCTGTTCCCCTTTTTTTTGTGTGGATGTGCAGCACTACAAACATCTCTGAATAAATCATAGTGTGTGCTCCTGTGATTGCCTTATATAACTTAGGAACATATCCTGGAGTCTTTATTTTTTTTTCCTAACCTGGTGCAAGGCAAAAGTTGGTTCCCATCCTGCTCTGGTTTTGGGTGTTGCTGCTGCTGTTGCAGTGTAACATTGGCTACAAATTTAGAGAAATCTTCAAAATACAACATTTTTGTAACAACACTGATTACTCCTCAGATCTGCTAAGACACCTTCTCACCTTGCTCATACTTTCCTGTTTTAATTTACCAGCTGCTTTTTCAGAAGTCAGCCAGCTTTGAAAGCAGGGGCACAAAGGCCCTCCCCCAGACAATAAAGGAGAACTCTGTGCTGCTGCTGCTGCTGCAAAGACTTCAGCTCAGACCTGTCACACTCTGCTGCTTCTTCATTTAAAGCAGCATTTACAAGCTCCTATAATGAAGTGCAAGACAGTTGTATTGAGGGATTTAGGAGAAGATAAATATTTTCCATGAGAGCATCAGTGAAACCCTGCTTGTTTTGCAGTTTTCCTGAGATTAACTCCATGAGAGTAATTTCTCTTCCTTGACAGGAATTGCATTGCATTGGGGTTTTTTTCCTGTTCTTTTTATTCTGCTTGAGGGTGCTACAGCTACAAAAGTGTGGAGTAACTTCCATTGGATGCCCAGCTCCAATGGTGGTTGTGGATGGTTAATTTTTCAATAATCTGGGCCTGTGTGCCTGTCTGGCTTCTCATTTTAACAGCTTTTTTTCTTTAATATCCTATTTCTTTTTTCTTTATTTTTTTTTCCAGAGGGAACAAATATTTGTGGATTTTAGTCTGTCTCATTGAAAGAAGGTGGAATGCAGATGAGGATTAACACAACTGAGTTTGTCTCTGCTAAACAACATTCTGGATGCCCAGCTGCAGTAATTTTGTGTAGCAAGGGCTCCTTGAATTCATGAATTTGGTTCTATGCACAGCAACATTCATATTTCTCACACACAAATATCTGGCCACAAAAATAGTTCAGAACTCTTCCTGCAGCAGTTGTTCCATTGAATCATCTCATCCACAGGCCATGGCACAGACTGTGAACTCTGACCACATCCTCTGGGCATTTTTTTGTTAACTCAGAAATCTGCTTTTGGAACTTACCTGATTCTGCAACTTCTGCAATGGGCACGCCTTGTTCATAAGCCATAAATCCAAGAACTGAAAAGATAGCAAAACCAGCAACAAAGCTTGTGCCACTGTTCAAGCAGCAGAGCATGATGCAGTCTCTGAAAATATAAATAAAAAACACTGCAGTTGATCTCCAGAGCTGGGGATTCTTTCATCCACTGTGCCAGAGGATTGACAGAACCCTGGGCTGCAGGAATGGAAAGCAAGTTGTTCATTAACAGTAAGGTCCCAACTCAAATTATTCCTGAGAGCAACCAGGAATTAGCACGTGCAGGAGGACACCATCAGAATATCAGAATCAGAATTCCTTGCTCGTGTTTTAACTGCTGGAGTTGCAAACCTGTTGCAAGTCACTTGCTGTTTTCCAGTAAAATCTTTAAAAAACATGTACAACTATGTAAAACATGTAGTAATTGTTAAGAACAATTTCTCCATAATAATTATCCAAATAAATTCCAGAGAGTGTGAACTCATTAATAAACTCTATAAAAATGGTAACATTTGTTTCCTGGGTGGGGGAATCCTGTGGTCAGATCTCAGCTCCTTCTATCCCCGTTAAAGAACATTGGCAAAATATATCCATGCAAAATAGAGCTGCAGCTGGGTTTCTAGACATATTTAAGAGGCTGTGGGAATGAAAAGCACTGTACATAATCTGGAAGTGTGTGCCTGCCTAAAAAAAGTGTGTAAAAAGAGGCAAAGGCAGTGCAGGGGCAGAGATCTCTCAGACAAACACATCCCACACTTCAAACCACGGCAAGGAAAGGCCAAGGTGAAGAAGGATTTCTTTGCCCAGACTGGAAACGTCACAAGAGTAAATCACTTTAAAGAAAGGGAAGATCCTGTTGCAGAAAGGTGTGATTTCCCCCAGAGGAAGGGAAATATTGTTCCTGCTGCTCTGAGAGCTCTCCAGGCGTGACAGATGATGAGGCTGTGATGATTTATGCTGACAGTCACTCCTTGAAGACTGTTTGCCACGAGAGACAGCTGTGTACTTGAGAAAGTAATAATCTAACCCAGATGTCTGAGGTAAATTAGGGCTCTAACCCACAGAAACACGAGCCTGGAGCTGTCTCGAGCCATCCCTTAATCTGCTTTTTCCCCATCCCACTGTGGCTCTGAAGCAAATTTTTGTGCAAGTTATCAATAAGAAGAAAGGATCTTGTAAAATCCAGCAAGTTCTGAATTCACAGCTTCAATAATTCAGTAAAGAATCACATCTTTGTCACAGATTTGCCTTGAGAATCAGAGACAATTCCTACTTCAAAGTCCTGGCAATTATTCCCTCAAAATTTCTCTGCTAATCTCCCTGCCTTGCCGTTTGTCTCATTCAGTTATTTTTATCCTGTAACATCATCTCATCGATTTTTGGAGCTCAAAGTGAGGCGAGCACTTCCAGCACCTTGTTCCTTCACTGAAGAGCCCAGCAGTGTCTCCCACATCTGCCCAAAGCTCTTCTGACACCCCCGGCACCCACCTGAGCCCCAGGGACACACATTCCCCAGCCAGGGAGCACCTTGGCATTCCTGAGCTGCAAAGGCAAGGATCAGCCCAGCCTCTGGGCCATGGGAGGCTTGGGCTCCCTCTCATCACCTCAGCTATGCTTCATTTTAACTATTGGTTTGGGAAGGTTTTATTGTTTTCACAGCAATTTCAGAGTAAAAACAATCTCTGTGGCACACCATCTACAAATTGCTAATAGATGCCCAGCAATGAAAAAGAAGGAATATTCCCATTTGTAATGGACACTCAGACAGGGACAAGTGCAGTGATGTTCACACTTCTTGCATGCCTGGACTCTAACTCTGCTCATTTGCAGTGAAATACTTGCTGAAAATACAATTCTAACCCTTATTTATTGACTTTTCATATGAAATTCTCTTCATAATTATGCCCAGCCAGGTCAGTTCTACATTTTGGATGTTTTAAAGTAAAATATCAATCCACAATAAAGGACTGAAGAGCACAGAGGCCTTTGTGCTTTGCAGAGATACAAAACAATGAAAAATCAGCCCTTTCCTGACCTTCTCAGTGAATTTCAGCTCTAAAGAGCTCTGGAGGGACTCTCACCCCACCTCTCTCACCTCAGGAGCTGGTGAGTTCAACACTGAGAAATTAAAACTGAGTGTGACGAAACCCTGTCTATAGGAGAGGTCAGCAAGATGAATTTTATAATCCTTTGAGGGGGAAAAAGAGAGATCCTGCTTTGGGGGGATGCAGCCAGATGATGGGCACAGGCTGTTTTCTTCAGATAAGATTTGGTTTCGATAATTCCCTGCTTCAAATGCAGTCTGAAAGAGATATTTCCTACTGAGGAATGCAGTGGCACAGGATATTTGAGAGCTGCTGGGTGATAAAGGCTGGAGCCCCTGGCAGGATCTGCTGCTCCCTCCTCCAGCAGGGACAGAGCCCAGCTGGACAATCCCACAGAACCAGAGGATCCCAGGGATCTCCACTCTCAGGGAAGTCTGGCAAACCACAGCACCACGGTACAAATTATCTGCAGGATAAGAACTCATTTCTCCAAGGAAATGAGAAAAAGGGCATTTTCATCCCCTCCAGCCAGTGAGGTTCCTGTTCTTTTCAGACACCACCACCTCAGCTGAATGGGTTCATCCCCAGGGAGGCAGTCACAGCTTTTTGGGGACCCTCATAAAAATATAACCTCCTAAAAATATAACCTTGAAAAAATACAACCTCGTAAAAATATAACCTCCAGCTGCCCTTCCCTTGGCTTTGCAGGAGTTCTACCACCCCCTCAGCTCCTGGTTTTTATCCCATAGGCAGAAGTAACCTGTAGTTCAGGGGTTTTTTTTTTCTTCTATGGGAAGGAAAACTGGAAGGAGGATCTGGATCCATTGATTGTGAGACCAATGAGTTTTAAAACACAAGTGCTCAGGAACCATTGGAAGGGCAACATGAATTTTTTATGTGCACCCTTGGCAGGAGGACATCAGAGCCTGACTGAAGCTCAGACTGATTTCAAGTGAAAGGAAAACTTCAAATTTTTATGAAAACTTCACATTCTTCCAATTTAAACTCCTGCCAATCACCTGAATAATTCAAGATGTGCATCACTTCTCCTCTCCCTGCCTGACAGGCAGGACACTTCTGAAAATTCATCTTGCCTTCCTTAAGGAGCTTCTCTGAGCCCACAGAGCCCCTGGCACCCCTTCCCTGCATTTATGGATTCCTCAAGACCCAACTGAGAAATTCCCATTTATCTTTTCCTCCCAGACTAAAAACTTGACAAAGGACAATTTTTCAGGTCATAAAAGTTTTGTCCATGTGTGAAATCACTCCTTTATCTCCTGCTCCACAGGGGGAACGGGGGAGCTGACACTGGGCTTGTACCTGGGGATGGATTTGGGATTCTGAGCTGGGCAAAAATCAGAGGGAGCATCATCAGTGCACCTCTGCTATCCCTGTGGGGACACACTGCCTGCCAGGGCTTGCAGCTCCTCAGAGGAGTCACTTGGGACACAAACTCTGGGGCATCCAGGGAGGAGCTGGTTTTGTGTTTTTGAGTGAAAGATACGTAAGGATGATAAAAACTCATTTCCTGTTCAAAGACATGAAGTGACTTTTGCAATTCATTTACCACGTTAATGAATTAAATCAGGTCTAAATCTTAAATTCACAAGGCCCACATGCAGTTCAGACTTTCCCATTTCCCACTGAAATACCCCTTGCCATTATTTTCCACTGCAATTTTCTCTTAGGGGGAAAAAATGGAATAAAACAGAGCAGAAAATAACAATGTTATGATCAGACTGTGGGGATTGCAGAAGGAAAACCCCCAGCTTGATTTCATTTTTTTTAATTGTAAAAGTTTTTAGTTAATTTTTTTAAAGTTTTAATTTTTAAAAGTTTTTTAAAGGTTTCATTTTTTTAAAGCTTTAAAGTTTTTTAAAGCTGGTTAGAGTACAAAATAGTGGTTTTCACATCAGAGCTCAGTTTATGTCTTGCCCTGCCCAGCTTGGCCACGTTCTGCTCTTCACATCTGTCCTACCCCTTCTCTCAGACTCGTTAAAAATCACACATCAGGACCCATCAACATCTGTTTCTAAGCTGGGAAATTTGGGAAATGTGAAGGGAACTGTGGAGCCTGGATGGAGTAAAAGGTGCTCAGCTGCAGCATCCTGGATGTTCAGGAGCTTCAGAGCAGAGTTTCACCAGCTGAGCTCCAGGGTGAGGGGGAAGGAAGGAAAATTCCATAAGCACACACATCCAAACTCTGCTTTTTCTAAAAGAATAAACACCTCAGGAAAAGCATTCCTGCACTCCTCGAGGCACTGACAGTTTCTAGCTGGGATACAACTGGAAAGAAATAGGAATCAAGCTGAATAAGAGAGGAAAGGAGTGGTGCCTTTGCTAAAGCATCACTTGTGCTAATTAGGGAAAAGGTTCATTACCAGCAGCTCTGGAGGTTGTGGGACTCACACCACTTTCTGCAGCAAAACATTTTGTCTTGCTAAGACATGGAAAGAAGGAGCATTTCCTAAAACTTTCTCCTAAACTATGGAAGTAAAAATGTAATTTAGATTTTTAAAAAAAGTGATTTGTTTGGGGTTCTTTTGTTTTTGGACTGTGTTATTTCCTTTATAGAAAAATGAAATTTTAAATCTCTGTCTGGAGATCATAATGGAGTTGCTACAACCAAACTGTCCCTGTAGGAATTTTAGGAAAACTAATTCAATAAGCATGGATTCCAGAAGAAAAGAGCAGTGCTCATATTGCTGCCCATGCCAGTAACGTGGAATGGGGGTTCTGAGTAAATCATATCCTTTGGGCATTGACTCAGGACAGATTAAAACCTCCTGAAGTCATTGGTAATTCCCTCCTTGGGAATATGGAGGTAAGCCACGAAATGCTCCCCATTCCCCAGGGTTGGGGTCTGCAAACTTCCCAAAAAAATGGGGAAAAGTGGCAGTCAGAGCATAGACCAAACTGAGGTGATTTTTAATGACAATTTTCGGTAGTACTTTTAAAAAGCAGCGTAAGTAATGCACAGACATTCGATTATACCTGCCTGAAATCCTGTATTTTTACATGAAATTTGTATCTCTGTGTGTACTGAGGGGTTGTAGAAGGCTCAGATTTGACCAAAAAAAGGGTGAAAGCACCACAATTTGGAGCAGAGTTCCTCTGGAGCAGCTCCAAGAAACACTCCAGATCTCTGCCCTACAAAACCCTGTGTGTGTGCTTATGGTTCTCCACGGAGGAAAGGAAAGGGAAGTGATTCCAAAAGCCAGCCCAAGGGCAGAGCTGCAGCGTGGGAGGTGTTACCTGTAGCAGTTGTTGTTGTAGTTGTTGTAGCTCCCCAGGGCTGTCAGGCAGCCCAGGCAGATGGCGTAGGAGAAGAAGATCTGTGTGCCAGCATCCACCCACACCTGGGGACACAGAACAGCGAGAGCTTCACAAAAGCAGCCAGGAGAAATCACCCTCCCCGAAAATATGGGCTGCAGGTCTGCACAGGCGGCTCTGCAGGGTAAGAGGCTCTGGCAAAGCTTTTACAAATCACAACTTTACAAAAAAAATGTGCTGGGAGGGAAATTCCCCTCCCCATCCCAGATGGTCTTTACAGGCTCAGCCTAAAGTAGAAAGGGAGACAGAATTCCTAGAGAAGAACCTCACCCATTAAATTCATTAATTGTTTTTAGATAGTTTTAGTATCACCTGCATTTATCTCACTCCCACTGGACAGTTATTTATTAACATTTAAAAATTTAACGTGAATAAATGCTCTAAAGACAAAATTCCTAGATAATACATCAATTAAGCTGGGAAAAAAGGGATAACTTCTCCAGGGAAAGAATGTTTTTAGCAAAATGTAATGGATCCAACAGGTACAAAGGTACAGTTCTGGTCGCTGTCCAATCAACAAGTAAAAGTTCTGTAGGGCTTAACGAGTCAGTAGCTTTGTAATGTCATTGTGGGAACATTAATATCCTAAAGTGATGCAAACAATTTTAAATCAGAGAAAAGGAAGCGTGAGTTAACACAGTGAGATTCTTCTCCTCAGAGCAACCTCAGAACATTAATGAGCAGGTTCATTTTACTTTAAAAGTACTGCAACAAAGCAATTTATTTCACTTGACCAGTGTAGATGTGCTCCCACTGGAGCTGGAGGTACCCTTGAAGTGCTGGTTTTAAATGGGAGTGATATGGAGAGCCCAAACCCACACAGCAATCCAATAAAATCCTGCTCCTGTTTCCCTGGGATAAACGATCTCTTTAAGTCCTTTGTTAAAGCAGAGCAACCAAAACACCAAACCCTGAGTGATAATCAGAGAGGGAACACAGGGAATGATTTCAGGACTAATAACAGCCATCAAATCCTCCTAAACACACAGAGGGGATGTGTTTGTTTTACATCTGATCAAGTGAGACCTTGCTCTCTGGAGCTGTTGAGTGTTTCTGTTTAGAAATAACATTAAGATCACCTTTGATTTACATCAGAGGCTTAAAGGGTTGCATTGCTGTCACGCTGAATAAGACACAGCTGGCAGAGCTTCACCACTGCTGAGGAAAAGCTGCACACACGGAGGCTTTTGACAGACAGGCTCTTTAACAGGACTGGAAGCTCCCAAAAAGCTGTGAGGAGCGTGGGTCAGCTGAAAATGCACCGTCTGCTGGGGCCCAGACAAAAGCTGGGAAACTGGAAACTGGATCAGCACATGGATCCTTCCCTTCCTGTCCTCCCACAGCTGCAGGGCAGAGCACTCCGAGGAGCACAGCCCTCCCTGCTGGCACAGGAATGATTATCCCAGCCCTGCTGGAAGTGGGGACACAGGAGAACTGTGCTGGGAGGGTGTGGAAGGGGCAAACAGCTGGTCTGGAGCCAGAGTTAACTGATAAGGTTTACTCCTGAAAGGAATTTGATCAAGGCCATTGGTATGGACACCGAGGAGAAGAAGATGAGCAAGAAGAATCCTGCAGCTGGGAAAAGTATTTCTTGAAAAGTTTTGTGAAAAATAGTGGTGGTGACTGCTTTGCACCAATGAACAAAGTGTAAACTTTGTAGAGTGTATAATAGACAGCATGCTGCTGTAATAAACAGAAATTAGCCTTCTGAAATGTAGTGTGTCTATTTGTGTTTTATGTCTGCCCCAACAGGGACAGAAGGGACAGCAGGGAGCAGCTCCAGAGCTGCTGGAGCAGAGAGCACAGCCCTCTGGAACTCCTGTGCCCAGACAGGAAAGCAGATCAACTCTGGCCACAAGTGATGCTGTTTCCTTCAAAGGAAACAAAGACTGTCACATCCTACAGGGATTCAGCCGAAAAAGTGACAAACACTCTATAAGAAACATCTTCTGCAAGGAAACATTCACATATCCTGGAAAACTGGAACCAGACTGAAGAGTGTTTTTGTTGCACTCCATGACATCGGTCTAGAAATTCCCTCAGAACTTAGGGCTGATGTTTAAATAGGAATGGAGAAGCAATTTTATTTGCTGAATGGAATAATAATGGAATGGAATAATGCACAGCTTCTTTTGGGTTGTATACTCAGAGGACAAGTAACATTTAATCTGTTCAGGTTTCTAAAATGACAAAAAGTGATCAGCAGAGTGGCAAACAGGAACATAAATTCAGAAGCCATAGGTAGATTTTCTGTGGCTGAAAAAAACCCGAGAGCTGGACTAACCCTGGTATGTATTGCCAGACACACCAACACTTTAAACCTTGAAGGTGACATTTCAGATCAGCTCTCCATCTCCTTGCCCCAACAGCCAGGGACCATCTGACATTCAGCCTCAGACTGCAGCACTCAGGTCATGGCTGGAGAATTTGGGGAGGTCTCAAACTGTTTATTAGTCTATGTCACCCCAGCCTGGCCATTCACAAAGGCCACCTCAGGGGAAGTTGTTCTCATTCCAACCTGTCATGGGCACACATGGGCTCTTGAAGACACCAATCCCAAATCCAGGGGCAATCCAGGGTTTGTGGCTCATGGGCACAAAACCATTATGGGATATTTCTGAGAGTGCTGAGCCTCTTTCCAGGCAGAACAATGACATTCTGAAGGGCAGGGACACAGAGGCAAACCTGGGGCAGCAGCTGGGACAGGAGAGGACATTTGTCTGAAAGGTGACACAGCTTTTCTGCCTTTTCTGACCTTTTCTGCCATGACTCCAGACCAGAGGAAAGGACTTTACTCATGCACCAGAGAACCCCCCTGTTAGTGCTTTATGAACTTTGGACCTTGAAAACCCTTAGGTTAGCAATAATTAATTCAACTTAGCATTCATAAATTTGGGATTGGAACTGTTTTATAGCTTCTATCAGCTCCTACCTTGAAGGATGGAACCAGACTCTTTTAGCTTTTTTGATCTCACATAAAAAGCTTCCATGCCGAAGCACGATTAAAATTGAAGCACAAAAATTTTGATAACTAACCCTAATATTTGGAAAATCGTAATTTCAAAGGACAGAACCTTACAAAACAATAAACAGCAGCATTCTCTACAAAAACCAGAAAGTGCTGCTCTGCAACATCCAGCTCTCAAATCTGGCAATGCCCCCGTTTTAATCTGTCTGGGTAACCTCAATTTGGCCTTCTTGTGGCAGGTCTAGGACACAATCTCCATTTCCATGGGTGTTTTCTCTGCCCAGGGAGATGAATTGAGCTGGCCAAACACAGGATGCTGCTGTCTGGAGGATGCCCTGCCTCCTTTGTAGCTCAGGCAATGAAAGCAGGGTGAGGAAGGAAGAAGGGGGATGTGCTGTAGTGCAGACAACAGAATCCTGCTCTGGAGAATTAAGTTCTTTTCATGTCCCTGCCATAAAGTTTCTGTGGGATGTTATGTCCATAAATCACTTCAAGCAACCTTTTCTCATATGTTCCTTGACTTGGCTATCCCCTAACAGGGGGTCCAAAGCAAAGGACAAAGTTACTGAGCACTCACTGCTGCAGATAAAGTGAAATAAAGTCACTTCTTGAACAACTAAAAAACCCCCACTGCTTAACAAACCAACCTCAGACTGAAAACCTCCAGAAGAGTGACAGGCCCTCATTTTAGTCTCAATGCAAATGTCTTTCTGTCAGTAAGATGGGGTCATGCCATACACTGAAAATAAAATAAATGAGGTGTCTGAAGCATAGGGCCAGTGCAGAAATAAGTCCCTTTGCAGGGCTATTTTTTTGTGATGATCAAGCCTTAGGCAGTGAATTCAGAGGGCCAAGCAAGGAGTGAGAGGGTTAAAACAAAATCGTGCACAACTGTCCTGAGATGAGCTCAGTGCCTGAACAAAGCAGAGACCTCGGGGACACTCTGTGGGATGTGTTGATGTGGATTATTTCCATCATGCATGGAATAAAAAATACTGGTGCTCACCTGAAGGAATATCTCAGATTCCAGGGGCTCCTCTAACCCTGTACCTTCCCTTTGCTTTCTGTGCTCTCTGGACATATTTTGAATAAGCTGCAGTGCAGCTGTTATGGAATCTTCCTGTGGCTGCAGGAACATCTCCCAGGACACTCTGACTTTAACTGGCCCTTCCTCCATGACAAACAGATGAATAACTCAAAATTTTGTTTGTAGTTGTGTAAAAAAAAAATTGTGTAAAATTGTTCCAAGTGTGGGGAACATGGGAAAATCAGGCAGTTATTTTCAGTCTGATCATCCCAAAATATAGGCAGGGCTTTTTAAAAAATAAAATATATTCTGTTGTCACCTGAGAAGGTTCATTTTACAGCCCAGGGGCTGATGTGCAGCTTCTCTCGTGAGGGTAAAGCAGCACACAGCTCCCCCCTTCTCTTTAGGCAGTATTCCAAATTTCACTTCACAGGTTTCTCAGTGGCACCAGGTCCTTGTGACACTGCTCAGGTGACATCTGGGGTTCCAGTGTAATGGCTGAGCCGAGGGAGCTGCCACATCCAGGGGTCTCCATATAAACAGGAACAATAATGGAGCACCAGGAGGATTCTCCCAGTAAATAAAATTAATATCTTGGTTTTCTGTGTGTCCCTGGCCTTTCCTACAGCCCACACAGCTCTGGTTGCTTCCTTGAGAATTCCTGTCAAAATCAAAGGCATCCATTTCCCATTGAAGCCCAAGCACTGGCTGGAATCTGTAACATCATAAATACCAACTTTTTTTTTTTTTTTTTCTCATTCTTAACAGTGAGGTTGAACACCAAAGCTCAAAGCAGCCTTAATTCCAGAGTGTTAATGACAGTCCCATCATGAAGCACTGCCTTAGCATATGGGAGAGCTCACAGACCCATTAAAACCTCTGCTTGCTCTTTAAAACGTGATGTTCCAAATGCTGACAGTCATTTATTTCCCATTTTGTTATCAGAGAACGAGCAATCACTCCAGATTTTCTTTTAATTTAAATTATTCATTACTTTTTGATGAATCTCAGCAGTTGTTTGTATTTTAAAA